GTCCTCTAGGAATTATAAAGAATATCAAGGAACACTCCTGGTGGATAATAGTGGGACTTGGGACTCATAATTGGAACCTCACATAAGATCTAATCAATGTTCATTTATTTTAACAGAATTTTTATTTGGTCCTTGTAATCAATATGTCTTCAATGGACAAGTTGGTGTCCGTTGATGGGTGATCAGTATAGTAGTTTCTCAATAAGGACCTGACCTAATAGAGGTGTAATACTCTTACCTCAATCTTTAGAATATTAGGAATTTCTGACACATTTGGCAGTTTCTCCAAGAGAGTATTAACAGAGGGAATCCCCATCTCCATCATGGTAATACTCCTTCAAATTAGCATTAACACTCTATTGTATGCACCATCCTAGAGTTATCCCATCATCTCTGTAGTCTTCATCAAACCATATAATCGAAGAATCTATGTGTATCCCTGCCTTCTAAAAGCTGAGTATTTTTCTTGAATGACAGGATTATATGAAGAATATTACACTTACGCCAGGGGATTTCACACGAAGTGAGCCATGTGGGCTCTAGTTTTCTATTGTTAGTTCACTCACCAATCATGCTGGTTGACCTTGGAGAAGACAGAATAGCTGCAGAGTGTTCCTGAAATGAGGATTTCTCCTGCTGAATCACTAAGGCCAAGCTAATGGCACACCCTCCGCTCAAAAATGAAGTACACAAACCGCTACCCTCTCAAGAGACTTTGTACACCACTTTGGAATGGGCAGTTCCCATCCAGAACTTTGAATGTTCAATTTCAAAAGATGAGAGTCAAAACGTATGTTACAATTTCTCATAAAACAGTAAAAGGGTAACTCAGAGTTCTAGTAAAATTTTAACAATTGTGATGTCCATGTAATTGTGATGTTAATTATCTTTCTTACTAGGTAACAAATGGCCTTCATTAGTAACACGAAAATCCATGCCACTTCTCTGTTCTGCCTAAAAGTTACAAAATGCTTTTCATGTGAAAATATTTATATACTTTTGAATTACAAAAAGCAGTAGTAAAAGCTGAAGGAGACCAGCTTTTATACCAGATTTGTCATTTTACCAATAAACAGTTTAAGTGTTGATGTGTAAATGACAAGGGGTCGGAGAACTGTACTGGCTGAGCCAGGATTGGGTTCCAGGCCTTGGAATCTCCAGTCTTCTGCATTCTTTGAGGCTACAGCTATTTACATTTAATTGATTAGAGTCCAATATACCTGGCATAGAATGGGGGCTCTGAAAATCGTAACCCTTACTTACCTGGTTAGTACCTATTCTAAGTGTTTTTCCTATTTTAACATTTAATCCTCACAGCAGCCCTATGAGGAAGGAACGTTTGATATTAACCCATTTACACATAGGGAAGCTAAAGCATGAGATATTAAACACCATGTCTAACACAGGGAGCAGGGATTTAAACTTGGGCGGACTGCCCCAGAGTTCCTGCTATGGTCTGAGCCACTGTGCAATCCAGCCTGCAAATGGGGGAGATTGGGATGTGGGGAGTAAAAGAAAGTGCAAAGAGAGCAGGAAAAAAAGGAAGAGAAAGGAAGAAAGAGAGGGGAAATAAGGAAAGAAGGAAAAGAAAAGGAGAAAGGCAAAGAAAAATCTTATATTTATCTTTTGGATATTGATATACATTTTCTAGTTTTCACATGATAAATTTCCAACAACCTATTTTGTATTTTTCCTTATGTCTTTTTCATATGCCCCCCTTCTCCTCAACCCCCGCCCCCAAGATAAGGAAAGAGAAAAAAGTGAGGGTGAAGCCTGTTTTTAATGATTTGATCTACTTGAGCTGTGTGTGTTGAGAGCACCTCCTTATGGGCTTCATGGCCTGTTGATTGGGCCATTAACAAGAGTAGTTGCTTTCACAATTAAATACAAGGTACATTTTAGAACCATAAAGTTAACATCTTGAAGTTCTGTGATTTGGGAGCTCCCCGGCCTATATTTCACTTTGGATTCTGAAGCTAAATTATAAGGTTGGGTTTTTAAAAATAGTTTTATTGAGGTACAAGTGACATACAAATAACTGCACGTATTTGAAGTATGTAATTTGATAAATTTTGATATATGAATACACGCATGAAACCATCACCACAATAAAGATAACAAACATTTCCATCACCTCAAAGGTTTCTTCATACCCTTTTGTAATTTCTCCCTCCTGCCTCCCTCTGTACCACTGTCCCCAAGTGACCACTGATCTGCTTTCTGTAATTACAGATTGCATTTTCTAGAGTTTTATATAAGTGGAATTATGTATTATTTACCCTTTTTGTCTGACTTATTTCACTCAGCACAATTATTTTGGGATTCATCCATGTTATAACATGTGTTAGTAGTTTATTCCTTTTTACTTTTGAGTGGTATTTCATTACATGGATATACCACAATTTGTTTCTTCATTCATCTGTTGATGGGCATTTGAGCTACTTCTGGTAATTGATTGTTACAAACAAATCTATGAACATTCATATAGAGTCTTCGAATGGACCTATACTTTCATTTCTCCTGAATAAATACCAAGAGTAGAAAGTATGGCAGATGTATGTCTGTAATTTTAAAAAATTGTTGAGTTATTTTCCGAAGTGGTTTTACCATTCTACATTCTCACCAATAGCATGTGAGAATTCTGTTTGCTCAACCTTCTTAACAACTCTGAATGGTCATTCTTTTTAATTTTAGCCACTGCACTAGGCATGCAGTAATATCTGATTTAGGTTTTAATTTGTATTTCTTTAAAGACAAATGATGTAAAGCATTTTTTC